ATTGTTGATCCTCTCCACGTTTTTTGATGACAACGGCGGCGCTGGTCCGACACATAAGATTCTTTCGAGCTGCGATTTGTGTTCTCCTCAAGGACTGATGGATATGGTGGCTGGTCCTGGTGACAGTAGACTCCGTGGACGACTACCCCAGGGAAAGTCACCTCCCTTCGGAGCTACCGGCTTCCGTCAGCAAGACAGCCAAATGGATTCTTCTCCCTTTTCTCTATTTGTCTAAGGTCATTTATACCAGACTAGAGCTTTTACTTGGCTGCCGGTATGGATCGAATAAACTAGGTGTTCCCACTAAGGATTACTGTTTCTTGATATCTGCTATCTTGGGACTAAACGGCCGGCTGTTGCCCTTTGCCAGCTACCGGAGTATGGTTACCAGTAGGTCGATCGTGACCGTTGTTCTGGCCACGCGATACCCGAGAATTGCCGAATTGCATTTTCTTCTGCCCTTACCAGTATGAGTCTGGTTAGTCACATGCACTCCTCCCCCAGGCTAAAGATTCGTCAGTGTTTCTCTATGTGAATCTTTCGATGTGGAGGGCGAACGTAACAGCGTCCTGATTGCTTGTAGATTGGAGTTCATTTTATCGCTTAGCCCTCGAAGAACTGCAGCAGATCCCATTTCCACACTCTTTAGCACAAATATAAATAATGGAAAAGCTTGTTATCAAAACGATTAATTAATAATTCCACAGCCTTATCATAATTCGCAACTGATGGCTCTAGCGAACGTTTGGTTTCCAACGCTACTCCTTCAAGGCTAGCACGGAGATATTGAAATTTTTTAATTTTACTTAGCTCTTGATCATTGTTCACCACAGTTGAAAACATCGCGTAGAAGCCCGGTCATTCTGCATAATTTCCACAAAAACGAGTGCCAGGTGCGGAAGCTTTGATCTCCTACTTGAGTTCAGGCTGCCATCTCCTATAAAATGGCTTTGCAAGGCTGTTGAATTTGCATTGCTGTTGCTCCTTTCTTGCACAAGTAATTCTCGAGAGAGTTTTGACTCGTTGTCAAAACAAATATTTGCAAAATTACAAATACAATTTTTCCAATTCAACATTTTTCGATTCAACATATTTTATCCGCGCTTGCAAATCTGCCTCATCGTAATTAATAATAACTTCTCTGGTTAGAAAAGAATTGGTGGCCGATAATTGTCGCACAACAAATTTCACCTAGGCGATTTCACTTGGACCGTCCATTATTTTATTGCAATTAAAGAGAGAAGACGATATAATAGTCACCCCATAGTTTCGTAACCGCCAATTTAGGCGTCAAAAATATCAACGGGTTTTTCTTTTTCAGTTTATATTCTCTTTTAGAAAGGTCTTTGCACCGCGAATATGTTAACAACACATTTACAACGCGCCGATTATGATTATGCCTTTTAGATGCGGCATTATGTAATTTAAATCTGATATGTTTTTAGCGATTTTAAATATTGTTCACAAGCAAAAGGAATTGCTCTGACTATAGTTATTAATGTTAGATGGAATATGTCCTTTTGTTTAGCAACGATTTATGCACAAACAGCAGCGAACAAAGAAAAAACTGTAGTTGTTTTTTAACAATTAAAAAACAGTGCACGTATGTTTTTTCGACGAAATGCACACTCCGGATCAATAATCACGTCGGGGTCACCAAATGTTTAGGGGAAGACAACTAATTTGTCACCCTTAACGTCGATATAATATTTAAAACTCACAATAGGTTTTAATTGCGAAAAGCCGTGTTTTACTATTCAAGATCGGAGCTGCACTAAAGACAAAAACGTATATGCAACAGCCCTGCAAGCAAAAGGGCGATATTTCTATCGCCTGTCGTCCAGGAGTCACTTCTGAGTAACTTCTGCGCGATAGAAAGACGATAGTACACATTTTACAAAAACAAAATATACATGTGTCGCGTAGAAGTAACTTCTAAGTCACTTCTGGACGATAGAAAGACGATAGTACACATTTTACAAAAACAAAAAGGGTCGCGATCGCGAAGAAGTAACTTCTGAGACACTTCTGCGCGATAAAACGGCGATAGAACCCATTTTACAAAATCAAAATTATTGCGAACAAAAATTGTCTTCTAAATGACTTCAAGATGTTGAAAAGAAGATAGAAAGAAATTTGGAAAACATGTATTTTGTTTTTGTAATTTGTTGTCTATTTTCTTGGCGTCCAGTCTGCGTCTCAGCAGGTACAGTGCTCGACCAAAACAGAACAGTAAACCCTTTCTAAAGGAACCAATTATTTATATATTTTTATATTTGTTCAAAATAATAAGGTAAATTTATTTTATATATTAATATATGTTTAAAATAATAATAATAAGATTGATAGATTTTGTATATAATTATATGTTTAAGTATTTATTTATTTTAACTATACCTTAGATTTCAATTTAAACAAACATAATAATATTAAAAAAAAAAGAATAAAATATATTTTTAAGCAAATTGAAATTAAATAAAATATTTTATTCGATCTCTTTAGTGAACTTAATCTATTCGGCGAACGCCCCCGTTACTTAAAGGTTCACTGAATAGATAGTTCACTGTATTTAAAAAAACAACGCTCGCCCGTTAAAAGGAGGTCGCGACAAATTGCCGTTATTCCTTTACTTCTGAAAATTCTTCGGTTCTCCCTTTTGACCCACGCTATTATTTTCCGCCCAAGCGTCACTTCGTTTCGCGAATTGTTTGTGGTCAGTGCGGCTGTGTATAAAATTTGTGTGTTTACAAAATATTGCTTTGTTTGTTTTCGATTTTAAAATGTCCCTACTAACAAAGGCTGCTAAATTGCGTGCTAAGCGTGAAGCTGCACGATTATTTTCAGCTATTTACGAGACTGAGGAGTCAACAAATGTTGCCAGCTCGTCTAAAAGAATATGTTTAGATGTTTGTGAATTAACCAAAGAGTGTAATAATGTGCCTGTTATTGTTGATGCTAATGCACCTGACGAAGTAGATGTTGCTATACTTGACGTATGTATTGATGTACCTGACGAAACAGATGGAGATTTTGACAACATTTATACTAGTTCTGACGAGAGTAGTGACAGCGATAGCCCAGAGACTTTCGCTGAGCAGTTAAGGCGGTGGGCCATAAAAAATAACATTGCCAATAATGTTTTGAACGAACTTTTGGTAATATTAAGAAATAATAACATGAATGTGCCCAAAGATTCTAGAACCTTGAAAAAAACTCCTAAAGAAGTTGTAGCCCGAAATATGGGGGACGGCTTTTATATACATTACGGTTTGTCTGACGCGCTTACAGACTTTTTAATGGTAAATGACTATGAGTCAGAAATAATAAATATGGATGTAAATGTTGATGGCTTGCCATTATGTAAAAGTTCGTCAAAAAATGTTTGGCCCATATTATGTAATGTTCCTGGTTATCCAGAAGTAATGTTGATAGGTGTTTACGAGGGTTATTCAAAGCCGAAAAACGCTGACGAATACCTGAGTGAATTTGTAAATGAAGTAAAGGAACTTGCCGAAACTGGGTTCGCATACAAAAACAAGATGTACAGCGTAGGGATCAGATGCTTTATTATGGATGCTCCAGCCCGATCATTTGTTTTAGGAATAAAAGGACATTCAGGTTATTATTCTTGCACAAGGTGCCTTCAAAAAGGGGAAATGGTTAAAAATCGAGTTGCTTTTTTAAAAATTGGGATGGACCCTCATCGGGATAACAACTCATTTAGAAGCAGAAGTCAACCTGAACACCACAACAAAAAAGATTTAACTGTTTTGGAAATACTTTCTATCGATATTGTTAAACAAGTTGGGTTGGACTACATGCATATTGTTTGCCTTGGAGTAGTAAGGACTCTCCTTAAGTCTTGGGTAAAGAAAAAAGGAGAACAGTATTCCTTAACCTCATGGAAAATTGGTGAGCTTTCAAGCGAACTAAAAAATTTAAAAAAATCTTGCCCGTACGAATTTTCTCGTAAGTCTAGGTCCTTGGACGAGCTTGATCGTTTCAAGGCCACGGAACTTAGACAATTTTTGTTGTATTATGGGCCGTTTGTTTTAAAACCAATTCTATCCGAAAAGAGGTACGAACACTTTTTAAATTTATCCCTAGCAATACGTATAAATAGCAATTGTTCTTTGGCAGATATTAAAATGGCCCAAAATCTCTTAATAGGTTTTGTAATAGAACTATCCTCGTTATATGACCCTTGCTTCATGACTTGTAATTTTCATTATTTGCTTCATATTCACGAGGAAGCAAAATCTTTTGGGTCTATAGAAACAATAAGCGCTTTCCGTTTTGAAAATTACCTACAAACTATAAAAAAACAGGTTAAAAAATCAAACAATGCTGCTGCCCAAATTTACAACAGACATGTTGAAAAGAGTTATACCCTCAAAAGGAAGCAAAAAAATGCTGATATAATATTTGGTCGACAACTTTCTGATAACGAGGAACTGTATAGTTTTTTAAAAACTAACTAACTTTTACTTCTCTGTTGATTTGCCTAACAATATTTGTTATGTCAATGAAAATGTTGTCCTTATTAACAAAATTAAAAAGAAGAAGAACAAGAATTAAAAAGAAAATGTTCCGTTTTTTGAAGGTAAAATTATTATTAACTTACAACCACTTTTTGATCAACCTTAAAATTCATCAAATTTTGGTATTTTTAAAGTAGATGAGATTTTAACAAATGAAAGTATTAGCTTTAACCTTAGCAACATTAAAAACAAAGCAATAATATTAAAAAACACACAAAACACTTTCGCTATTTTTCCTTTCGTGTAGAAAGTAAAAAAAATGGATTTTAACACCGGTGCAGGTAAGTATTAATTGTATCAGTTAATGTTTATTTATATTCCAAAACCAACTATTTCATAAAAAATTAAACAAAAATACAAGTTGTATGGAAACTAAATAATTAATTAATTAATTAATTAAATTAATGCTCTCTAAAAACTATTCGGCCCAAACTTTATTTTTTTGCAGATTTCTAAAGTTTGGGGCAAATAGTTTTTTGAGTGTATACATATTACACAATAATAATTTTTATATTTTAGGAAACTCTTATCCGTCTCAATTTGACGCAATTTCGCCCCATAATAAGTGTATATTTACAAAAATATTTGTCCAGTCTTAATAACTTTTGGAAAAATTTCAGATTACCTCTTTGAGAGGATATTGAAGGAGCTGGACATGAGTCGACACAGGGAAGACCAAATTTTAAAAGAATTGGAGGAAAGTAGGCGCAGGGAGGAAGGTACCCAAAGGCTGCTGAAAACGCTTACGGAGGAGGTTTTTATGCTCCGTGGCGAAGTTAGACAACTTAAGTCCTTACCGGTTCCGGAGCCTGTGGCCTATAATCTTCAAATGCTGCCCTTCGAAACCCTGCCCGATTTCCAAGATTTCGACCAAAAACTTTTGAATGAGGATGAAACGCGGAGAGAACTGGTAATTTACTTATATTGCATGCCGTTTACGATTACCAGATAAATAATTTTGGCCTCTTTCTAGAAATCAAAGCTAAAAATGGTTGGAGGAAATGATGTTCCCACATTTACAAGGCTGGCTATCAAAGCAGTTATATCGGAAAAGCTGGCTGTGGACATAACGTGGCGGGGAACTGTGGAGAAACCCAGCATCCAAATGTTCTCAACATATGCGATTATTAAAGGTAACGCCCCAAAGTGTATTTTTATTTTGACTGAATAAAAACCCATTTTTGTTTCTGTTCCTTATAGAAATGGCTATTAGTAAATTTCCAACGTCAACGGAGTTGGACATAAATAAAGTTATTCAGCAGCATTTCCTACATGCCAGAGACCGTATTTATAAGCGTCAAAAGCCCTTATAAGAAAAATAAAGGCAAACCGAGATAAATAAGTCAAATGAATATTTTTTATTTTTAGATTTTCCAATTGGGAGAGAATCTTCTAGGTATCATCTACAAGCGTCTGTTATGTCACTTCTGAGTTACTTCCAGAAGGGACTTCGGCGACACTTCCAGAAGTTACTTCGGCGATATCGCATTCGTATCGCGGAAGTGACTCCCTTCGGGAAGAAATGTGCCACTTCGGCGACACTTCTAGAAGTGACTTCGGCGACACTTCCAGAAGTTACTTCGGCGATATCGCATTCGGATCGCGGAAGTGACTCCCTTCGGGAAGAAATGTGCCACTTCGGCGACACTTCTCGGAGTCACTTCGGCGACACTTCCAGGAGTGACTTCGGCGACACTTCCAGAAGTAACGCAGAAGTGACTTCGAGAAGTGTCGCCGAAGTGGCACATTTCTTCCCGACGGGAGTCACTTCCGCGATCCGAATGCGATATCGCGGACGATCGTTTTCATCTTCTTGAAGTCACTTAATAGTGCCTTCCGCGATAGAAAATGCTTGCAGAGGGAGTCGGCAGCTATTCTAAGCAGCGCTCGCCTTACAAATAATAATAAATAATAATAGATAAACGAGATAACGAGAGAGGCTCGAAATCTCTGGCATGTAAAAGCTTTAAGTACTGTGGCCTTCTTTCGCATAACTAAATATTTACATATTTATAGCAAAACAAACATTAGACAATGGCATTTACATTTAAGCAATTAAGTTTTGGTTTTGCTCCAAACAAACACTATGAAAACAAATAAATTCGAAACGCTCAAAATAATAGAAACTTAAAAAGAATACTAAAAACAAACAAAACCAAATAAAACAATTCGAAGAAATCCCAAAGAAGGAAGGATGGGCTGAAGGGCATTCCCTCGCCAACAACACTGGAAATTTGGAAATAATAATAAATTGCTTATTATTATTTTCAATTAAGAAATGGATTTTATTTTGTACCTAAATGAAAGAAATGTGCCACTTCGGCGACACTTCCAGAAGTAACGCAGAAGTGACTTCGAGAAGTGTCGCCGAAGTGGCACATTTCTTCCCGACGGGAGTCACTTCCGCGATCCGAATGCGATATCGCGGACGATCGTTTTCATCTTCTTGAAGTCACTTAATAGTGCCTTCCGCGATAGAAAATGCTTGCAGAGGGAGTCGGCAGCTATTCTAAGCAGCGCTCGCCTTACAAATAATAATAAATAATAATAGATAAACGAGATAACGAGAGAGGCTCGAAATCTCTGGCATGTAAAAGCTTTAAGTACTGTGGCCTTCTTTCGCATAACTAAATATTTACATATTTATAGCAAAACAAACATTAGACAATGGCATTTACATTTAAGCAATTAAGTTTTGGTTTTGCTCCAAACAAACACTATGAAAACAAATAAATTCGAAACGCTCAAAATAATAGAAACTTAAAAAGAATACTAAAAACAAACAAAACCAAATAAAACAATTCGAAGAAATCCCAAAGAAGGAAGGATGGGCTGAAGGGCATTCCCTCGCCAACAACACTGGAAATTTGGAAATAATAATAAATTGCTTATTATTATTTTCAATTAAGAAATGGATTTTATTTTGTACCTAAATGAAATCATCATGATCCGGAGTTTTGGCTTACCATTTTCACACACTCACTTATTCTCATTTTGATACTCACTGTGACAAAATTAATTCGACTACATTTATGTCGTATTTAATTTCCCATTGTAACCTTTTACTAGAATCCCTTTTTGTAATATTCAATTCTATATGTATTATTTCTATAAAAAAACTTAAGTAAGTTACGTGGAATAAATCGTTGTATAATTCATAAGTAAGAACAACACCTTGAACTCCTTGAACAGAAAAAATTCATAGTACGTATAATCAACTATTTCTAATCTGGCCAATATTAAGACTGATACAATAGGTATTAAGGAATGCATTTTCTGTAAGATAAGAGGAAACAATTTATTAATCCTTAGTATTATCTTTCTTCACAATTCTGTTTCTAATATCGATTATTATTTTTTTAGGCCTTACCTCCTTAACTACTTGTTTTTAATACCTTTGTTAAAGCTTACTCCTTTCCTCGTATATTTTCTCATAAACTACACAGAGAGAATTATTCAAGTAATTTGGACTCAAATTGAGTATTTTTGTACTCAAAAATTCAGCATGAACAAAAATTCTCACACCGAGTGCAAAATACTCACTTTCAGTACAAATTTCTCAAAAAATCTGTACTTAAATTGAGTACATTTGTGCTCTTTTTTGAACATTTTTCCTCAACATGAGTACAAACTGCACTCATTTTAAGAAATAATTTAGCTTGAATTTTAGAAACGAGTATCCCCTTTTCTCATACTGAGAAATTTCCAGCGCTCAAAATGAGAAACAAGTTCTTGATAGTGTTCTTCTAAATTCTCAAATTAAGAACTTTTGCACTTAAACCCGGGTCCACCCATTTCCAGAAAAATAGGTAAAATATTTTTTTTATATTTTATTTTGTAATACAGTTACTTATATATGTATATACATGTTCCATGTTCTAGGCTATGGTATTTTTTCCCTTAGCTGTCTGGTCTAGCGAAGAGCAAAGAGGCTGAAAAAGAAAACGTTATTGTTAGCAAATATTGTAAATATATAGCATATACATAAGCATGAAACAATAAAATTAGAATGTTATTAGATGTACATTTAAAAAGCATTTAACAAATTATATGTATGTATGTATGTACAATGTACGTAGAAACTAACAAAACTAGACTGCTTCACGCCACTTACAATCACACATACATACATATTAATGTACACGCTTCAACAATATTTTTGCAGTGTTTGTTTATTTTATCATTATTTAGAACATTATAAATACAGTTTAAATTAAAAAACTTACCCTCGAGGTACGGAAGGGTCGCACATATGTCCAATTCACTGAAATAGTTTTTCACCTTTGTGTCTTGCGCACGTCTTCACTTTGCTAAATCACACGGCAAATGACAGTCACACAAATGCGGCGCGCACCACTTTACACACCCATTAGTGAGAGAGAGACAACCACATACGCAACGAACTTAAGGCCGCTCTTGTCTCGTCTCGTTCGCAGAACGGAACTCTCTAGAACCAATTATGAGAATTATTAACTCATTTTTGAGTTTATCGGTTACTCATAATGAGAATATTAATTCTCAAGTTGGAAATTGAAGAACACATTTCCTCAAACTTAGAATTTTGCGATCAATTCAAGTCCTTTTACTTAAAATGAGTGAAGCTTTTCTCAACATTAGTTTTTTCCACAAATTTTGTACTTAAATTGAGTACATCCTCAAATTGAGAATACAAATACTCAATTTCAGAACGTCATAATTTTCTCTGTGTACTTATATTCTATATCTACATAATATTTTTTTTCTTTTCTGTTTTATTTATTTTGGTTTTAACTCTTCCTAACGCTACAAGTACAAGAATACTTATAAATTAGTGCGCTAGTCACAATTCAATTTACTTCATGAACAAAATAAAAATTTCTTAACTATATAGTTCTAATACAAGACATTAAAGCTATGACATTTGACATGTACACCAGTTTTATCAAGAAAGTGTACTGGTGACCGAAGCTGGAACGAGACTTTTTTTAAATTTACGGACCTAAGCGGTGTGCAGGATACACCGCACATAAGTCGTCTGAAACAAAAAATGAAAATACTCCGTTATTCGTAATCAAGTTGCCGAGGTACTGACGTAAGGATTTCGTAAATTTTTGAAAATGGTCAAAATGGCGTACTTTGGGAAGAAAAAATTCGTTTTTCACATTTTTTATAAGATATTAAGGTGTGAAAAACAATTTGAAAAAAATTTTATAAGAAACCCCTACGTCAGTACCTCGGATTATACATTCAAATTGACCCCTCATAATTTCAGCTTGATTCATAGATTTTGCGCAATCCTGCACACCACCTTGAAAAACACTGTTTCGAGAAAAACGCGTTTAAAGTTTGAGGATGTGATGAATTATCATTTTTGTGAACTTACATTCAATCTGCGATTGCAGGACTGTAAAGTTCCCCTTCCTCGTCGTGTATGAACTCTCGATTCTCTACCCGTTCTTCCCTTCTTTCGATGTGATTTTTTAAAAGTATTATACAGGTCAACCCACTTAAGGATATTGATCTTTGGTTATGCATAGGTTCACTTTAGCTTTGATTGGCTCTATTAAAACATTTATATTGCAGCACTACTTTCTCCGAAGTATGTTATTGGTCACTACGCTTTTGAACGGATGGCTCCTACAGCTAAACAATTTTCAGGAGCATGGGTCTCACGGATACTGCGGCTACAAACATCACAGTATGTCAGATGTCGTCCTTATTGTTGATCCTCTCCACGTTTTTTGATGACAACGGCGGCGCTGGTCCGACACAAGATTCTTTCAAGCTGCGATTTGTGTTTTCCTCAAGGACTGTTGCATATGGTGGATGGACCTGGTGGCAGTAGACTCCGTGGACGACTACCCCAGGGAAAGTCACCTCCCTTCGGAGCTACCGGCTTCCGTCAGCAAGACAGCCAAATGTATTCTTCTCCCTTTTCTCTATTTGTCTAAGGTCATTTATACCAGACTAGAGCTTTTACTTAGCTACCGGTATGGATCGAATAAACTAAGTGTTCCCACTTAAGATTACTGTTTCTTGATATCTGCTATCTTGGGAGTAAACGGCCGGCTGTTGCCCTTTGCCAGCGTCCGGAGTATGGTTACCAGTAGGTCGATCGTTGCCGTTGTTCTGGCCACGCCATACCCAAGAATTGCCGAATTGCATTTTCTTCTGCCCTTACCAGTAACATGGTTAGTAACATGCACTTTTCCCCATGGCTAAAGATTCGTCGTTGTTTCTCTATGTGAATCTTTCTATGTGGAGGGCGTACGTAACAGGATCGAAGTGATCGATCGCACGACCATAGTAGTCTGTTCCGTGTTTCTTTTATTTTTTTTTAGGCGCCCATTCACGTGTGGCTTCCACCTACACCTATGATCAAGAGTCTCATGTTATCGGCTGAGCTGTCCGGGCTGATATCTTCACTGCTGTTGTTTTATGTTAACGGTATATTATGTACTCTAGTATTTTTCTTAAACTTGGCGCATGGAATCTGTGTTTTGATGTTTTCTCTTTTGATCTAACTGACGATCGATTAAAGCATATTTATTAGAAATATTTGATTTATATGCTTATAAGGTGTAAGAACTTTGATACTAATAGGTAAGCTTTGTAGTGCTAAGCGAAAAATCGCAGTATTTTTTATCCGGCGGTCCACTCGGAGACCCTCCCTTTTGAATTCCGCTAACGAAGTTAATGGAGTTGTTAGCAGCAAGCCGCTCATCTGTGAGTTCATGTTGTCTTTCAAAAGCTCAACAAAAGTAGTATGGAAATGAGGATTCTGGGACAATGAGCATATTAATGGCATATTAATAATAACATATCCGATCATGTTGGGGAAAGATGTGATCACGTACCTTTTTGCCTCATTATCACAGGTGTTGCTGTGCACGTCAGAACATGTCCGATCATGCTGGGGAATAATGTTTCCTATGATTGTAAAACTAATTTAGAAATCAAAAGATCCCCAATAAAATAAATCTCACAAGTTAATGACTCTCAGATGTGGAATATTTTCAAACACACATCTTTGTTTCCTCCCCAGAACGTTCAAATGGTAAATTGTCTAAGATTCTCTCCTTTCCACAAATGGTTCATAAACATGTCATAAAAGGGATTCAAGCAAGAGCTACCCGAACATGCGCACCTGTCCATTACCTGACCGCAATAAAAGGGACACATGCACAACCCAGAAGACGCACGCTCATTGACAAGATCATGGGCCTCACGCCAACGACCTCACGGCTGAGTGCGAGCTCTAATACGTTCCCATAATAGGGGTTGAAATCACGACCGCGCAACAACTCGCAAGTAGCCGACATATCTCAGTCAAGGAAATATTTTCCATTCCTGTAATTTTAACTCGAAATAAAAAGTCAGAAGTCTATTTTGTAGTATAATAATATTTATTTATTTTAGTATTGCACATGTTTTTTATGTTATTTAATCTTTTACATTCTTTTTTCCAGATTATAGTATATATTCATAATGTTGTGTGCATTCTTTTTTGTAATCTGAAATTCGATGGCATACACAAGTATCAACTCTCTCAGTGGCTGCATCAGTGCTCCATACGCAGGTGGCCATACGATTTTCATAAATAGATTTTATCATATTACCTTCATCACGTTCAAAGATTTTTGATTGTATGAACCGTACATAGTGTGCATTGAACAGAATTCCGTCAAATACATTTAGAAAGTTATTTCACTGAATGCATGTTGTCTATCTAAGTCAACAATCTCGTCTTACACTTTTATATATGCTCACACAATTTATAAGGACACTTTTTATAGGTTTTCATCTTCATCTATTAGCGCAATAAAAGGGACACATGCACAAGCCAGAAGGCGCACGCTCATTGACAAGATTATGGGCCTCATGCCCATAATAAGGGTTGAAATAGCCGACATATTTCAGTCAGGGAAATAGTTTTCATTCTCCGTTCTTGTAATTTTTACTCGAAATACAAGGTCAGAAGTTCTTTTTTGTAGCATAATAATATTCATTTATTTCGGTATTGCGAACATGTTTTATTATATATTGAAATTAATTTAATTCTGACTTCGTTCCGGCGATTTGCATAGAAGAGGCAGGCGCATGTTTCCGACGTCAATTCAGGATTACAAAATGTAAAGTGTTCACCATATTTTGAGATCATGTCCACCTAGATTCATGAACATAGTTTTTGTATTTTGAAGGTATTGAAATTGTTGACCAATTATCTGTCCCTAAAATTGTTCAATAAATTGGTCAATTTCCTCATGAAATTTCATATTGTAAATTTTGTTTTCTTGTAGGTCCTTACACATCTGCTCTCAACTTTAAAGTGATGTATAACAATAAAGAAAGTTAGCTTCGGCAAGCCGAAGCTTATATACCCTTGCAGCTATAATTATTAAATTTAAAAACACAAAAAATGATATTCCCAATAGTACAAGATATTATGTCAAAAAAGACCGAAGCTATAATTTGTTTCATTTTATTTTCCTACCAATTTTCCGATCGTTCCTATGGCAGCTATATGATATAGTCGTCCGATTTTGATAAAATAAAATTCGAAATTCAGAACTAATTAAAAAATGTTATTTCCAAGCGTTGGAGGTTATATGTTCAAATACACCGAAGCTATAATTTGTTTCATATTATTTTTCCACCAATTTTCCGACCGTTCCTATGGCAGCTATATGATAAAAACTAATTAAAAAATGTTATTTCCAAGCCTAGGAGGTTATATGTCAAAAAACACAAGAGATATAATTTTTTTAATTTTTTTGTCCGGTTATTCCTAAGGGAGCTATAAGATATAGTTGTCCGATCCGGCTGGTTCCGACTTATATACTACCTGCAAAAGATATAAGACTTTTGGGAAAGTTTCAGCCCGATAGCTTTAAAACTGAGAGACTAGTTTGCGTAGAAACAGACGGACAGACGGACAGACGGACATGGCTAGATCGACTCGTCTAGTCATGCTGATCAAGAATATTTATACTTTATGCGGTCGGAAACGTCTCCTTCACTGCGTTGCAATTTTCTGACTGAAATCAATATACCCTCTGCAAGGGTATACAAATTATTTTTTTGTTTTGAAACTACTTTTAAAAAATGTCAAAATGTTAATAACACAAACCCCACCATTAAGGTGTGTTTCACAATAGGGAAACCGGTTTCCTTTAAGGCTGTTTAATGACGGACAGCCCATTTCCTCGATATTAATGAGCTGACGACTCCCAAAAAACGTCTGTAAAAAACCTTTCTTTTCCACACCTTTACAAATAATACTTAGATACTTTCGAGTTTGTAGAAAACTGTTTTCTCTATCGTTCCAAAAAATTTTGTGATGGGTATTGGCTAATCAAATTGCAGTCTTATGAGACTTTGTACTTAGCAAAGTAAAATCATGTGGTGGTTCTATTAAAAAACTATTTTCAAGTTTGGTTCTTTTT